GAAAAACCCCCAGCCAGTGAGCATTATATGTTAGTAAACTTCCCTGTCGCATGCAGGATTAGGGTTTCAAAGTCACTGTGGAAGACGCCACTTCTGCTTATGATCCTACATGACAGACACATACTTTTTAACGTATACAGCTTTGCCTTTTCAAACATTGAAAAAGGCAGCCTATCAGCCAGATGACGTGTTAGATTTTTCACAGCCCAGCAGGCTTGTGATGACTTACTTTGGAAATATGATCCAGACAAAAGGAAAAAAAAAAACACATTACGAAGCTGTATTAAAATTTGCACTGACATAGGCTGGAAGTTGCTGCTCTGTAGCAACATCTAGTGATGTTTTTGTGCGCAAAACCACAACCTCATGGTTTAGATTATAAATCCATTATAAGGAGAGAATAACAGGTTGGAATGGTAGATCATTAAGTAGCTTCCTTGAAGTCAAAAGGCACTTGAATCTAGATGTGAATCTAGATGTAGTTTAGCCACGGTCACAAGTTTGTGGCTGAACATGCCAATTCTCCTGAACCCCACTTCTGTATCTCCTTCTGTACCTCCCAGCTCAACCATTGACCTCATCACCAGGGTTAGAGGGGATAATAGAGACATGGGGACCTTGGGCAATGCTGAGAAGGGACAGATATCTCTTGATCTTATCTCTCTCACTAACTGCAATTCTGATGGTGCTGGTGGGATGGTTCAACTCCTTGTCAGTCCCAAGTTTGTACAAGCTGGTGGTTGCTTGTTTCATCCAGATGGGATGGTGGGGTTGGCAGAGCGCAGGAAGGAGATGTGGAGCTGTGGCTAGACCATCCTCGTCTAAGGAGCGCCTGATTGCTCTGGCTGGAGATGTGCTATTGATTGTCACATTGCTTCCTTGGGGCTGTTGGCCACGACGTAGGCAGGTCTCACTCAACGAAGCCTCAACAGATCCAGTTAAGTTCTGATGAAACTTTATCCTCTCCACTTGACTTGGAGAGAAGGAAGTTTGTAGCTTTGCAGCCTAGTGTGACTTGCCCTGAGAAGGCATCAGCAAGGTGTTGGGGCGGTGTCTGCAGCTGTAGGCAGCTGAGGAAAGAGGAGTCAGCTGGTCCCTGAGTAGGGCGCTACTTGTCCTCACTGTTCCTTCTGCTCATTCTCCAGGTGCCTATTCCTTGTCCGTGAGAGACAGTGACTCTGCTCATGGGGACATCATCAAACACTACAGGATCCGCTCCCTAGATGGTGGGGGGTATTACATCTCCCCCAGGACAACTTTCTCCACCCTGCCAGAGCTAATCCATCATTACAGCCGTAAGTTGTTTGCCTTCTCTAATGGGTTTGTCTCCTAGCAGAAGGTGGACCTGTGAACAGAGGCAGGATAGGCTTCCTAGCCACCACCACCACTCTCTCCACTCTCATGGGCCAGGTGTGCTTCTACAAGCAGAACTTGGGCACCCATGTCCTGTTTGTCATCCTGGGGCATTGCGAGGGTGAGCTCTGCCCACAGCCCTGTAATCAGGGAGTGTGTTCCAGCAAGAAAGGAATCAGATGAGTGCTAAAGGGATATACAGGAGGGATGCTTGGTAAGCAGGGTTTGGAATTGCTGGGCAGGAGAATTTGCTCCTCTATGGCTTTCTTTGGGCTTTTTCCTTTCATTGAGTCCATTCTGGGTGCCTTGATCCTTGTGGCCGAATCGTTTGTGTGGTTATGGAGGTTTCCCACAGGTTAACTTTTTCCTGACGTATGTAGATGGAAGAGGAGGTTAGTTCTGCCATCACAATGAACTGTCCTATGCTTCATCTTCATATAGAAAAAGGGGATGGCCTGTGCCAGCGGCTCGCAACTCCTTGCATATCCCTGGTTCCCCAGAGACCCTGGGCACAGGATGAATGGGAGATCCCACGGGAGTCTCTGAAGCTTGTGAAGAAACTTGGCAGTGGGCAGTTTGGGGAAGTGTGGATGGGTGAGTATAATTCCTCCATTCCAGGAGAGAAATATATAAACAGAGGAGATGGATTTTCTAAGATAAGACTAGTCTGGATGTGGGGATACAAAAGTATGGACACATAGTTATGGGTACACATGCAGAAGTAGATACCATATTCCTGGGAAGGACTGGGCAGGTTGTGTTTGCACACGTCAGTGGTTCATAATCGGTTCCATAGGCTGGACGCACGCAAGAAGTCTTGACCTAACTGTATACTCCTCTCCTGAGGCATGCTCTTGTTCTTCCGGGGAATCCTGGGCACGGTTGTAAGAGGTTAAGTTATACCCAGTAGGGTAGCTGGGTGACACTATCCCACTTTTTCTGCTTCTCTGTTCCACTTTATAACTCAGATCTGAATCCCTTATGCCTTCCTGCCCACTGCTAATTCGTGGGAGAGGAAATGGGGTGAGCTCAGCTTCCTTTGCTGTCGTCTTCATGGTTGCTTGTTGTCTTGGCAATTGAGATTGTGGACAGGTCCAGACTGAGTTGACATCCTGACTGCAGAGTCCTGGCTTTTTTGATGGTGTTTGGATTATCTGAGAGCCCAACTGGTGAGAGGCCCTGGGGGTTTCACTTAGAAAGAGTCTTGCGAGGCTGGGAGGACTGCGTGAGTATGAGCTCATTGCATGAGTGCCCACCAAGCACAGAGCATGGATGATCCCTGATGAAGACACAGGGACTGACAGTTGTGCCATGTCTCTCCCTTCTCCTCTCATACCTGCTAGTTGCTCAGAGTCCACTGGCACTGAGACTTCCCATTTGTTTCTTGCTGGGAGATTGAAAGCTGTTGCTGTGGTTTTCTGCTCCCTGATCCACAAGTTCTTCTGCTCCTTATTGCATGGCCTGATAGAGCCCATAGAGAGGCCAAAATTCCTCAATGCATCATTATCTCTCTGCAGGCTATTACAAGAACAACATCAAAGTGGCTGTGAAGACCATGAAGGAGGGCAGCATGGATCCTGATGCCTTCTTGGCAGAGGCAAACTTGATGAAGAGGCTCCAGCATAACAAACTGGTCCGGCTATATGCAGTAGTCACGAAGCAACCAATCTACATTGTGACAGAGTACATGGCCAACGGTAAAGAGCCTCATGGAGATTTTTTGTTGAGTTTCTGCAAAATCAGATCAATGAGCTGGCTAATACTCCCATTATAAGTGGAGGTGGGGAGGAGGACATTGTGCCAAATCTGTAAGCAAGACTAAGTGGTCCACAAATTCGTTTCCAGTACTGGAAGGGACTTTCTGGATGATGAAATCCTGCCTTTTGTGGTCTCGTATTTCAAAAGCTACTTCACAAGATGGTGGTGCTCCATTTGAAGAATATTTAAAGTTTGCATCTCCACTGTTCCTACTGGAAATTCGTTTCAGATTTTTGCTGCCCTCATAGTGAAATTGTCCTTTCTTTTGCCCCTCTTGTCAACAAGGTTCTGAGTGAAGAATGCCCAGCAGGTTGCAAAAGGTCTGTGCAAAATAGAGGGGAGAAATAGGCTGCGTTTGGAAGCTTTCTTAGTGGAAGATGCTTCCAAGATGTCCCAAGGACACCCACTGTGGTTCCTTGGATTTTCTCTAGGATGTAGGCAGATTCATTGCATTTATTCCGAGAATCACTGGGGAAAGCAGACGTATAGACTTATTCAGAAGAGTTACAGCAGTCTCTCCTCTTTTGCAGGGTGTTTGCTGGATTACTTGAAAACAGAGGAAGGAAGCCAACTGAATCTCCCCAAACTGATTGACATGTCTGCTCAGGTTAGTGAGCAGCCTCTGGGAAAAAGAGACTCAAGACTATCATTTGTTATTGCCTCAGTGAAACTCTGGCAAGGCTGAAGTCTGTTGATTTCATGGAGAAAAACAGCACCTCCTGGTGTGCTCTCTTAAGGTTTCTCTCTCAATCCTCTCGTGCTGATGTACTTGTCAGCTCAGCAAGGCTCTGCTGTCCTTAGGACAGCCTCTGTGGAACCTGGTGCAGTGCTAGAGAACTCGGGCTTGGTTTTTGGGTTTTGGGCTTGTTTTGTTTTGTTGTTGTTTTTTTTCTTCTGACTTGCTGAGCAGGAAATAAGTTTGTTTGTTTCTCTTTTTTACCGAAAGAAAGAAAACGCTCAACAAAGAGACTTTCAATGTAGAGATACGCTGGCTTTCAGCAGTCCTTCTCTTCTGATAATTAGGCATGAAGGATGTTCTGACCCTCAAATATGGGAATATTGCTCCTTATGAGAACAAATTTTTGTAAGATTGTTTCCCTCTAAGCATCCCCAGGCTGTAAATGTTAATAGTTGCAGCTGCACCATGACGTTTTAGTCCAGAAGTGCATCTAAACTCAAACAGGTCAAAGTCAGGGAAACTGCAACCAGAGTGGCAGCATCTTGGCAACAAATTGTACGTGAAGGATATGATGGGCAAAATCACTTCACTTTGGTCCCAGCCAGCTGTTGACAGAATTTGGCTCACCCAGAGGAGAGTTAGGCGAATTTTGAAAATAGTGGGGAAAAGCCATGAAGCATCAGTGTGACAGCTGAATGCAGTTATTTTGATGTGCAGATCTGGGATTTACGCATGACATCACTAGTCCTCTCTGGGCCAAAGTGAGCCTGAGCAAATGATGTGTAAAGGCTGACCCCTTAATTCCAGCCATCATACAGATTTATTTTATAACGTACTAAACACTGGAGAATCTTAATAGTTGAGCAAATGCTATGTGATAGTAAAAGATTTTCCTTCTTTCCTTAACCAGGATGAAAATATTTAAATCCTTTAAAGCAGTGTCCCCATCTGTCATTTTTATTTTCCTCTGCACCTCTATGAAGGCTGCAGAAAAGCACATTTTGGTGCTTTCCCTCTTCACTACTGATAAATCTTCTGAATCTGCAGATTTATCTTTGTTATCTGTGAGAGGTTATGGGGCCAACTGCAGCCTCCTTCTTTAGTTTTTCCCTAATTTCTTCTTTCCTTCCCTCCTTCTCTCCCTACCTCCCTATTTCCCACCCTCCCATTTTCATTCTTTCATTCCTTCTCTTGAAAGGTATAGCCTGTGATGTGTTTTAAATTCCTGATGATAAGCAGAATGATCCAAATTCACCTATATTACAGAGCCCTTGAGTTGGTGGGAACATTATCCCAGAAATTGGCTTGATGCATTTGTACGGAAGGGGAAAGCGCCATAGCCAGTGCAATCTGCAGTCAGCTACAGTCAAAGGAGTGATCCAAACAGCTCCATAGCAAAGCTATCAGTCAACATTATACCCAGGTCTGAGACAGGGACACCAGAAGCTATGAGTACTCACGCATTAATTTAACACAACATTACAATTTGCATTGAGTATGTTGAATAAATGTTTCCAGGCAGGTGGGTGAGGAGTGGTCAATGGTCTTGTCTGTCCCAGGCACCGGAGTGGTATAGGTCTGACAACACACTGGCTGCAGGAACCCCTGGGATAGACCAGTTCCAGGGTAACCTTGTGCACCCAAACCTCCTCTCTGAGTTCAGAGTCGAAGCTTTGAATGTGATCCTGTGACGTGGCCTGAGCTGGCCACAAACCCATCCACTACAATGGTCAAACAATCCCCACGGTGGGCACCATCACTGGGTTTGAACAGGTGCACGTGGATGTCACCTCTCCATGGACACCTGGAAGCACTAACACACCCTGCACACCCTTCTGGCACCTCTCCACACAGTGTGCAACATCCTACACAGTGCATTGCTTCCAGGGCCAGAGTAGTTGAACACAGACCGAACGCACACACCCCAGCCACGTAACACCCCACAGAAGCCACCTGTAGCATGTGGTGTGAGAAGGATTTTGCCCATCCCTCAAGGCATGGGTGCCAATCGGAAGGACAGCTTTCATTGCTCCCCCTCCCACCCCAGCATCACCTCCCAAGGGCAGGGATTCAAACACTCACTGGGTAGCTCCGGAAGGAGGAAAAGGGCAGTCTCTTGAGCTATTTTGCAATCTGTTCATCTGCGGTGTTGGGATGACATCAGAGCCCAACAGGCACCCAGCCTTCCTGAGCGCAATTTTGGATCCAATAGCATCCTTCGGAGTTAAAATTAGCAAGCTCTGGGCCGATGCACTTGATCCTGTGGTCAGTCTCAGGGGTACATGCTCGAAAGCATGCTGTGCTGGAACAAGCCCATCGCCGGGTACTATCTCATTAACATCAGGACAGGAAATTACGTCAGTTCTTCCATTTTCCACTGTAGCAAACAGCACTTGCGCTGAAGGAGTGTTGACACAGGTTAGAAGTGCAGCATTGGAAAGTATGTGTTAGTATCCTGTTTAAACCACATGTGAGTCGAGATGTTGATGTGAACCTATGTGGAGTGGAAAATTGCACTGCCCTCACCCACAAGCACATAAAAGCTTTAATAGGCACTAACCATTACTAGCAGTGGTTGTGTGCATCCACTTACTGTCCCGATAAATGCCTAACCCAAATCTGAGACTGGACTGATAGAGCAACTTTGCAGTCTTTTTTTTCTGTCTCTCCCAGCACTCATAATAATAAAATAAAAAATAAAAGATTATTGCCATCATTCACCAGACACCTCCCCAGGGCTGCTTTCTGCCTCAAGTATCTAAAGAGTAAAAGATGATCTAGAGAGCAAGAACCTCCACAAGTAATGTTTGGAGATAGTTGAAGAAGGTAGCGCATGCCCAGGACAAGAGATTTGTCCAGGGACACGCTGTTCATCCCATTCATGTTTCTATGGATATCTGGGTCTTCTGCTCTAATGCATCCTGTGGGTATCAGAGGGAAACGGTATTGTGTCCTGGGTCCTAGTCTGGATCCAGCACAGGGAAAGAAAATACCAATCTTGGTTTTGTTGTGGAGGGATCTCCAGGGATCTCCTCCCCATCCCAAAGCAGACCAGTGAGGGAGAACAGAGTAGGTTGCTGAAGAACATCTAGTTATCCTAGATCTGGACCTTGCTGCTGTGACTGAGGGACAGATGAGCTCTCGGAGGGTTTTTCTTTTTTTAATTCACATATTTAATCTGGAGTGTTTGTGATTAAAATCCCAACTAGAGGGGAGAGTCTTGTGGCAGAAACTGTGAATCTAGTGATGTGGCTTCACGTTTGCTTCAACATTCTGCATCTTGATCCAGACGCGACTCACAGCTGTAACTTCTGAGCAAAACAGAGAGTGATGCTTCTGTTCTGCTTGACTTGGCTGCTTAAAGCTTTTGGAGGCTCAGTGCCTGCTGGTAGAGCTGCACATATAGAATCATAGAATCATAGAATCATAGAATGGTTAGAGTTGGAAGGGACCTCAAAGATCATCTAGTTGCAACCCCCCTGACATGGGCAGGGAAACCCTCCACTACACCAGGTTGCCCAAAGCACCATCCAACCTGGCCTTGAACACTTCCAGGGATGGGGCAGTCACAACTTCTCTGGGTAAACTGTGCCAGTGCCTCACCACCCTCTGAGTGAAAAATTTTTTCCTTATATCTAGTTGAAATCTCCCCTCTTTCAGTTTAAATCCATTTCCCCTTGTCCTATCACTACACGTCCTTGTAAAAAGTCCCTCTCCAGCTTTCTTGTAGGCCCCCTTTAAGTGCTGGAAGGCTGCAATAAGATCACCCCGGAGCCTTCTCTTCTGCAGGCTGAACAACCCCAACTCTCTCAGCCTGTCTTCATAGCAGAGGTGCTCCAGCCCGCGGATCATCTTCATGGCCCTCCTCTGGACCCACTCCAACATCTCCATGTCCTTCTTGTGTTGGGGACTCCAGAGCTGAACACAGTATTCCAGGTGGGGTCTCATGAGAGCAGAGCAGAGGGGCAGAATCACTTCCCTCAACCTGCTGGCCACACTTCTTTTGATACAGCCAAGGATACGATTGGCTTTCTGGGCTGCCAG